AACCCATCTCGGTATCCTATGATACCCTTTTTCATATTGGGTATTTTCGGAAACCATTTAGGAAATGAAAAGGTATTTTCGCATACTCTTTCGGGTATCAATCCAGCTTTACTACTAATATGGGTTTTCGACAATACCTTTCCGATTTTCGAGAAACCTATTGGGTTTCCGAAAGCAAGAAAAAGGTATTCTAGAATACTTTTAGAGTGTTCAATTGAGTATTGTCGGAAACCCTTGGGTTTCTGAACGTTCGAAAACCCAAATGGTATTTTCAGAAACGCTTCCAAACTTCGGAAACCGACTCGGAAACTGAAAAGGGTTTCCGAGTAGGTTTCCGAGCCCCTTTGGGTTTCCTAGGATACGAAAATTTTTTAGAGTGCACACCCACACCCACACCCACACCCACCCACACCCATACCCACACCCACACCCACCCACACCCACACCCACACCCACACCCCACACCCACACCCACACCCATTCTGCTCCTTAGCGTGCTGTCAACAAATCGTTTCTCGCATCTAGTACTTCTAATATCCTATCTTCAATGCAGCTCATTCTTTCAGTAGAGGGTTAGCAGCGTTTGCGCTGCATTACTTGTCTTTACCTGATCAAGTAAAGTTAATCTACTTTACTTTATCGAGTAAAGTAAAGTGGATTAACTTTATCTGAAAAGTAAAGTGGATTAACTTTATCTGAAAAGTAAAGTGAAGTATCTCTAGCTTTATCGAATAAGCAAGACATACTAAAATAAGATATAGTAAAGCATGTAGCCAATGATTATTCATTTATTAGTTTATTAGCAACATTAATCACACACTAATACGTTAGAAGTCGTGTCGAATTACGGACAAAAGACTTTGAAAATTTTAACCCTGATTTTACTACTTTGGAAGTCAGCATCGAACACTCAAGATTCTTTATAAATCTGTGCTCCACACCCTCACAACTCGAATTTTGATGCTTGATGTCTCCTTCGGATATCGAAAACAAATTTCACTACGTGTGCAGATTACAAATATCTTTTTTATTATTAAAAAGTACTAAAATAATATGATAGATCTGAAGTGTAGCTTTGGGTATGAGTGTTCTTTTTCACCTAACCCACACCCATACCGTCTTTCGAAATTTTTCAATTCGAAATTTTTCTTTCGACCAAAGTTTAGAGAACCCACTCCACACACATCCAACGGAAAGAACTTTCTCACTATGCCGAAATTGCAAATTACTCCTCCGCAGAAAAAAGCTTGGATAGAACTCTGCTACTCATACCCATAGTCTAGATTCACACCCCACAATTGTTTATATGCCATATCCCAGTTATAATAAAACTTCATTTACTTAATGGTTTAAATTAAAATGTGAAGAGACTCAAAAGATAATAATCTCGACTATCAAGACACTGAAATATCTCGGACTCTAATGAGCAGACTCAACCATCGTATCATTTTCTAGAAATAAATGAGACATTTGTAATCTGTACACTTGATACTATTGAATTATAAAGACTGGTGATTTGAAAACCAGAAAATTTGTTTTCGATGTCTGAAGGAGACTTCAAGCATGATAATCGAGTTGTGATTATATGGAATATAGATTTATGAAGAATACTGAGGTTCGATGCTGATTTCCAGTATAATAAAATTAGGTTTTAACTTTTCGGAGCCATTGATACATAATTGGACGTGATTGTTAACGTATTAGAGCGTGCTTAATGTGTGCTATTAAACTAATAAATCAATAATCTTCAACTGCATGTTTTACTTTATCTTATTTTACTCTGTATTGCTTGTTCGATAAAGTTAGAGATGATTCACTTTACTTTACTTTATCAGGTAAAGATAAAATGCCACTCCTAATAACAACAACATTTGTTATCTCAATCTTATTATATATAGTCCTTCACTTTTTAATCTTACTCTGACTTTATTTTTTGTATGTCGTTTTGAATGTTTGTTATTTTTGTTGAAAATCATACCTAATAATTATATAAACAATTAAACAATAAGTTCAAAAAAAAAACATGAAAAAGGTGGCACAACTGAATGATAAACAAAAAAGAGGTTTCGAAATGGAAGTACGCTCTTCAAAAATATTTCCGAAAAGTTCAGTATTCCCAAGCTCTTCATCTGGACAGTAAGTTTGCAAACATGTTTATCATTGAAATGAAAACTCTAATATTTCTTTTGCTTTTCTGCTAGATCTGGTCGATTATCAGAGACATATAGTCTATATGAATTTAAAACAAATAAAGGTGACACCACTTCACACTGCTCACGATGCATACGATTAAGGCTTGAGACAGGTGCTGACAAAATTTTTAGGATTATGAAAGAAGCTTGGAATTTACAATTACCAGATATAATTATATTTGTAATGAGTAGAGCAGAAGATGATGATGTATCAGTACAACTAAGAGAAATGATTCGAAAAGATCTGGTTTATGCCGCCATTAGAGCAAGTAATACATTTTTATTCTACTATGGATAAGATATGCACAATTTTAATTAAATAGATGCATGGTTAGTTACATCCGGAAAAAATGTTGGTGTCGCCAAAGAAGTTGGTGAAGGTCTTAGGTATTATCGTGATTACATTGAGAAACATAAATACAATCTTCCATGTATTGGGAGTACCAGTTGGAATAGTATTGCAGGATATGCACAACGTGAAAAAAAAACGAAAAATCTTCCTGAAAGTGCTAGTAGTTCAAGAAGACATTTAGCTTACTCACACGATAGAAGTTCAGCCGAACATACTATTCAGATAGTTAGTTGCATTTAAGACTGTTTGAAATACAAAACATAAAATTTTTTTCTTCTCAATTAAACTTAGCATGGCAATGATCATTGCAAAGAAAATAGAGAATTCAATTTAGACCCAAATCATACACATTTTTTATTATTTGATGGTGACGTAAAAAATGGCGATTTCGTTCTTCATTTACTAGAACATGTTGAATGGCGTTGGAGTATTAAGAATTCGAATGATGAAGCAGAAGAATCACCTATACCTATTGTCATGGTTTTAGTTGAAAGTGATACGCAATTAAATACAACAAAAGTTAAAGTAGTAAAACCTGGTATTCCAGTTGTGCTTCTAAAAGTATAGAAAGATTATTAGCATTATTTATTTAATTTAAATGAATCTCGATTTTTAAAGCATAGAGAGTGTACTAGTGAAATTGTTGCTGAATTACATAGTTCTTATTCTGATGGTAAAATAGATGATGATGTTACTAGTAGTACGAACTCCAAAATATCACAAAATATCATTTCTGTAGAAAGTTCAAAAAAAGCAAAGATTAATTCTATGTAAGTTCCATTTATTACATAAAATTCTTTTTCATAAGCAACGTGTCTATTTACGAATCAAGTTCGAATGAATCACAAATTAAAATTGAAAAAAACAATTCTGTTACTACAAAGGATTCATGTGAAATATTAGAAATGTGTAAACATCCTGTAACAGTTCTTAAAATTTCTAGCAATAGGCATGATAGAAATTTTGAAGATGCTATTTTACAATCTTTATCTAATGGTAAACAACAATTTTATCTTGTAAATCAAAGACATTTTTTTTATTTTGTAACAGCTAGAAGAAATACTGAAATATCAAATCAACAACATAAACTAGCAAACGAACTCATATTAGCTATAGTAATTCACAAAAAATGACTAATCAGTACAATAAGATTTTTCTTCATTTAGGCATGGAATAGATTTGATTATGCTCGTGAATATCTTCTTACC